ACCTCAATAATTAATTTGGATAATATTTTCGGATAAAATTTCCGGGTTCCTACGTGTCAAGACTATTCATAATCAGCTAAAATTTCTGGATAAGATTTTTGGTTTCATATTTTGGATGAATTTCAAATTCAAATTTCAGATAAATTTTTTGGTTCAAATTTCGGATGAATTTCAAAATTCAAAATTTAGATAAATTTGGGTTCAAATTTCAGATAAGATTTTCATCCAATCAAAGCCTCACACAAGGAAACATCTTCCATGGTGCTCCACGCCCCTCCGGTTTCGATAGAAGAAGCCATAAATATAAGAACTAAAAATACAATGTGAAAGAGAGGAAGATGTTGAGTATAAAGAGTGAATAATAGTAGAAGTAGAAGAAAATGTATAAGGATTGGTGTTGAAAGTGAAGGGTATTGATAGGCATTTATAGGAAAAAAAAATTAGAATTTTTTAGTATTTTTTATAAAAAAATTCGATTTTTTTTTTCATAATTTTATTGTCAAAAAAATGCCAGTCGTTGGATTGGATTCGGAGAAGCAAATCGGAGGGTTGGAGGCGTGACACGTGGCTGCTTCCTGTTGGAGATGCGCATGGCTGACGTCAGCGCACGCTGGTTGAAATTTTTTTACCGTTGGCGCGTGACATCAGCCTGATGTTAAGCATGACATCATCACCCTGCGTTTTGGACCTCGAGTTGAACTGGCCTTCGGGACCTACTCCAGCCCGGGCTTGGGCTTACCTCTGGAAACCATTTTTGGCAAAAAAATCCCCCAGCCCGAGGCAAAAGGGCCTCAGTGGAGTTGCTCTAATAAGACCAGTTTAGAATATCGTCTTTATCAAAAAGAAAAATGCAAAACACTGTGGAGGGCCATATGTCAAAACATTGTGAGAGAGCCATATGTCTCCGTTAGGACAGGTGGCAGGCGAAGGAAATATATACAACGTAACAAAAAACTCATCGGCAAAACCAGAAGCGCAAACGAAACTGAGGCACCGAGAGAGAGCTTAAGACGCAGACATGGCTGAACCCAATACACCTCAAAATGTTCCTCCTCCTTCTTCTTCTTCTTCTTCAGCTAAAGTTCCAGCTGACATGAACAATGGCCACGCCAACAACACCAACAAAAGTTTATCGGGCCAAAAGATCCACTACCCGAACCCGCCCGACGCATCAAACCCTGACCCGGCAACGCTCAGAGAGCAATGGAAGTTCGCCATCAGGCAGTATAGCAAATGGTACTCCCACGCCTGGGGCACCGCCATTCTCGCTGGAGTTTCCTTTTTTGCCCTCGGTTGGGTCATCAAGGGCTCCAATCCTCTGCCCTCTTTTAGCCGCCATGACGATTCTCCTCCTCCTCCCGACAAAGCCGATGAAGCTCCACGCTGATCACTCTGTTCTCCGATTCCCAGTGAGTTTGCTTTCTTCGGGGTTTTCAATTTTCGGCTTTCGCTTTTACTTTTTAAAAAGAAACAATTTGAAAACAAAATTATAGGTTCTCTTCAACTTGAATTTATGTTGGCTTTACTGTGACTACTGGGTTTGGATTTCATTGTGCTCTGAGTCAGAATTTGCTACTCTTTTCTGCAATCGGAAAAAAAGAATGTTCCAATTTTAAATAGGTCGGATTGGAAAATTCAGGATTTTGAATTGTCTGGTTGTGAAGCGTTTAGAGTAAAATGGACTGAAAATCATCTTGTTTATGGTGAGTTCTGTAAAACTTCCTAATGTTTCATGCTCTAACATTAGTAAATTGGACATTTGCTGTTTCCCTGTTTGTTGTTTCTGGAACATTAGATGTCATATTTTCCGTACATATGATCTTGTTGTGTTGCTGATTCGCTATATGCTGATGAATGCAGATACCACATCTCTAGGGTTTAGGGAGGGAGGACAAGCTGGTTCGGTTCACCGGTGTCAAGACTCTTAACTTTCTGTACAGCGCCAGCCTTAACAGTGTTGAAAACAGGGTTTATCAATGTGGCTTGAGCATCCTGGAGAATGTTACTACATAATTTAGGGCTGTGAATTATATAATCTTGTGAGAATCATTTCATTTGACGATGGTTAAGCAGGTGATAATTGATAAATATTTACGTCACCAGTTTGGTGTCTGTTTTAGTTTGTTGTAATTAGAGTTCTAATCTTTCTGAACCAAAAGATAAACCCAGTGGACTCAATAAAACATACACACATGTTATCGCTTTATCGACAAATTCATCTATTCCTTGTGCATGGAATTTCTAATCAATGCCATATGAAGCTTGTTCAAAGGTTATCTGGTCTGCTTATGGAGCTTTGCCGAATAACAAAAATAGCATCACTTGGCTCAATTTTAGATCAAACAACCGAACTTCATATAAAACTCAACCGAGGAAGGATAATAATACACAGGGGGAAGCAAGTGGTTCAAATTGAATCAAAGGAAACAACAGTAACATATTCTTAACATCCTAAAGTTTTGGCTAACATAGGCAAGCTTTCGAGTATCCAAAGCATAATGTTTCAAAGAGTTCATGTTCTGTTCAGAAAGCAACTTCGTCGAGTCAGGTCAACCTCTGTATAGACATGACCTCGGGATAGAACCTTGAAAGCCACTTGAACCATTCCTCAAAATTTAAGCAGAGCAGCATCCTACTTTCTTCACAGCTGATACATCATCCTTGCCTCCAACGTTGATCGTCTGTCCTTTGGGCAAGGCTGCTGGATCATCCCCAATGTCAAGGGCCTTCCTGCTCACAACACGATAGATCTGGGACAGCACTTCTGTGAAAGCATTGTCGACATTCATCGACTCGAGGGCAGACGTTTCCATGAAAAAAGTGTTCTCTCGTTCAGCAAAAGCCTTAGCATCCTCGGTGGAAACAGCTCGCAGGTGACGCAGATCTCCCTTGTTTCCGACTAGCATGATCACAATGTTGGCATCTGTATGATCCCTTAGCTCCTTCAGCCATCTTTCCACATTCTCAAATGTAACATGACGAGTAACATCATAGACTAGTAAAGCACCAACGGCACCTCGATAGTACGCACTTGTGATTGCACGATACCTTAAACAAAAGAAAAGGAAAAGTGAGATGGATATTTACAAACCATCCCCGTTAGGGGCGGAAACAGAGGAAGGAAGATAATTTGCTAGATTTGTAGGAGACCCTTCTTTTCCATTTATTGTTGCAGCATTTCCTTGTTATTAGACATTTCAGAGCTTCAAAACAAGATGCATTCTGATTCATTACCATTATTGCCAGGATTAGTTTACACAGCACCAATAGACGTAAAGAGGACTGGAAGAATGCTACGATGTCTTTTCACGGAGTTGCAGTGGTGTGTTAAGTCATATGATCTATCAAATGAAACAACATGCCACTTCGAAATCGAAAGAATGACAAAATGTTCGAACATGTATGATTAATAACAATATTAATGACATATCAACTTCGGATTTAGTTTGAAGTTAGAGAAAGAACATAGCTATCTGAAAATGCAGTTGCTGAAAGGTCGTCAAACTGTGCCACATCCTAAAAACTATAGCAGAGTGAAAAAGGCACCTAATTACTTATAGAACACTACAAAATGCAGCAACAAAAAAAAAGGTTAAAAGGCCAGAAACTGTATAGAATTTCAGCTTAACATTATAAACAAAGTCCACTAACCAGTCAGTTCTTCAGGAGTTCAATAAGAGAATTA